AGGATTCACTAAACCCCAGCCTGTTTTGGAAGCTTTAGAGTCTAGGCAGCTCCGGTCGCATCCCGTGTTGTCAATTCTAGCTTCACGCTGTGCTAGGCCAGAGCGATGTGACGAATTATCCAGGACAAATACATGCGCGGTCATAGAGATAAACGCAGGAGGCCTACGACTTCTCCAAATGGATGGATTATGCCAGGTAACTTATTGACACGTTTGGCTAACCTAGAAGCCGCCTTCGATGATTTTCTGCCGAACCCACTTTTTGTGATTGGCACTCTGGGCCCCAACCGCCGACTCATCGCCCTGCCAGGATCGTCTATTATCGACCAATGTTTCTCCTGAGAGACGAGTGGCCTGTTCAGGGACAGTATGTGCAACAGGCAAGGGGGCCGGCGTCCAACTGGGCTCCAACACTGTGCCAGTGTTGGAAGATTCTGGTCGCTCGGAGGCTGTAATCGTTTCGGATGTTGCATGGTAGAAAGGGTCATCGTCCGTCCACCACGTGCAAGAGGGTTCAAGGTCCAGGTCAATCAATCGAAAATCGCCACTCGTTCTAGGATGAACGAAACGGCGTACTGCTGCGCGTAACGGGTTGCTTGCGCATACTAAGACCAGTTAGCGTTGGCATAATCCAAGGGGGTAACCGACGGAGCGCTCATACCCGAAACCGCGGTCGTTCCGCCTGTACCATCCACAAGGCGTGCCAGCTCCTTGGCGATATTGATGGCATGAAAATGGTATTTCAATCGCGTACGGTTGCGGTAACGAATCTGGTCCACGGGCTGAGCATTTAGGATATGTGTGGTAAATTGCAGGATCTGCCACCGAGTTAGCCCGACCTATTGTAAAATTTATAGCAAGAAGGAGAATTCACTCACATCAAATCCCCGGTCATCTCGATGTCTATGCTCGGGACAATCGTCTCGGTCAAACATACGGTCGAGTTCAAGGATTTGCGAGATTTCATCCCCCACCCAGTGGGGATGGTCTGTTTCGGTAAGCACATGACACCGCAAAGCATCTGAGAAGAAGAAGGACACCTACTGAAATTTTTCAGCCTAACTTGCCACAGGACCTCTAGCCGTCGCACCATGTTCCTCCGGCTTCGGCTTTCTTGAACGAGATGTCGTATGAACGGCAACGCGCGGAAGAGTCCAATATCTTCAAGTACGAAGACGACGGTCCCGTACTGGCCCAGATGAGGTGGGTGCCCGTAGGGACCCAGCACGCACACCGGAAAATGAATCGTCGAGTGCGCACGATCCGCAGCTTGTGCGATCCTTCCGGTCACGCCCGGTCCAAGCCGGGCCACTATGCGTAACACATGAGTTGTCGGTGCTCCTGGGGAGTTTTGCGCTGTACCCACCGAAGCCACGTAGAATGCGGGAAGCTGCAAGCAGGACCTTACTCCCAGGCGTGGCATCCAGAGCTGTACATACTGCCCCGGTTGGGCCACCCACTCCACCGGAACCGCAATATCAAGCCATAAGAGCCTGTTGGAAGACCGCGCGAGGGCCCGTAGAGAGGTGATGTGCCACGATCTGTGGAGCCACATAGTATGCAGACATGTCCCCGCACTCCAAGCAAATCCGGCGCAAATACCGCCTAGTAAAACCCAGCGGTAGGACGATACCCGGTCGATCAAATGGTAGAAAAGGGCGCCAGTGGCGATCGAAGCAAGCATATGGTGGATCTTGAGGCCAAGTTGCGGCCACCGTCGAAGAATCGCAGCGAGCGTCCAAGGAAAGATCGAGACGAAACTGCATCCGGCCTGTTCAATATTAGCCACTTCTAGTCAGACATCCTTTGGGGAAATAGGAAAGCTGCCGTTCTCTAGCCGTCACGTACCAGGAGTGGGATGACGAGGGAAGCTCCAAGGCTTGTATTTCGAGCAACTGTGCCTAATACGGACCCATGAAGAAGGCAATGCAGCACGCAAATGCGGCCTAGCCACCTATGGGCCAACTGGAACGTGCCCCGTTCGACACGGTAGACGTGGGCCGGAAGGCTGAAGCTAAACCCGGAGCAGAGGGGAACAAGGTGTGTGACCGCCAAGCATCCAGCTCGCTTCTGCACGTCCGCCCAGGTCTGAGCATGAAGACTGATTGCAACAATGTTGGCAATCACCAGGGCTGCAAGTACTCCCCCTTGCAAGTATGATGCGATATCCAGCCACTGGAGCACGCCTGGCGTTGGCGCCTGGAAGAAGCGTCTCCAAGATACTGCGTGTTGCAACCTCAAAGGCAAATGGCTGAATCGGCGTGCGAGGCTATAAGATATCCAGCATACAAGAGCGAGGAGCCCACAAAGACCAAACTTGTCTTGGACGGGAGCCCTGGCAAGCCATTCGGCAAACTTTGACACAGGGCTGGACATGCTTTTAGGCGACACAATACTGGACATCAGCAGGTTTATATCGTATTTTCCATACGTTGTCTGAACAACGCTGACCAGAGCTTTCGTTTGGGCGGTCGAAAGCGGCTTACGACGTTGATGCAGTGATCATTAATGCTGGTGAAAAAGATGAGAAAGCCCTTTTTTACGGCTCCTTGGGCTGAGACGACCGGTTGATGATTGCAAATGATCATCATCGAGACCGGTGAAAAGATCACCCACAGCATAAAAGAACTCATATCTCAATCGCAAAAGGTGCGTCTCGTGAAGTTTATGTTCAACGTTGAACCCCAATTCTGCGCTTATCGTGTGCCTGCAATATAATGCGGTGTTAAATTGTCCCATGTTTCCAACTGTTGAACTCAGTCAACGTGCTGAGATGCATTTTCAGATGCCGCATGGCCGCTTGTCCGGCTAGGCAGTGAGTGTCATTGTTAGGAGGATCAGGGAGACAGCCGTGGCCAGCGACGGCGACCGTGGAAACTGTTGTGACCCTCCGCCCGTGGGGTTTTCACACCAGGACTTTTTCTATGGACCAAGTCATTCTGTCTATTGACGCAATCATACTCGAACTCGTCGAAGACGCAAAAAGCGTTGTTTCTACGGAAGGCGGTCGTGTTGTAGCAAACACGGCTCCGAGCTGTATTCCGAATAGGATTCTACTCTAGTGCCGATCTGACAAGGCTGGATCAATCTCCACAGAATTCGTGCTCTATAACCCCTTCTAGCTACGTAGTATTGCAGTTCCATCAGGCTTGCTTTTGCTTAGTCTAAATCTTGGCATTTGATTCCTGGTCTGGAAGTCCCCAGAGGTGCTACGATGAATGTTTCGCTGAAGACGATTACAAGCAATTCTCTGCCCTAATGTGAGCATGACTGGTAGATCGCACAGATATCAGCAGAAATAGCTCTTTGTCAAAATATTTGAAAGGCTCCTTTAATCCCTCATTGGGCAACGTATACTTGATTCAAAAGAAACAAAAGAAAACAAAAGATAGATGACAGCAGCGGATTTGCCAACCTCCAAACCCTTCCAACATCAAGCCGGTCCTAAGAGTGAGTGATGGGCTTATGAGAAGAGGTGACATGTATATGAGAAACTTCTAGGAGCTCGGCAAGAATAGCCGATTTCTCCCCGCTCGACTTTTCGAGTCTGAACATGAGCTTTGCCCTAACAAGCCAGGATTTACCGTTCATTCGCTTCAACATGGAAGAAATTGAGTGTTTGGTTGGACTGGAAGATTCGCCCGCCTCAATCTTAAAGTTTGTCGGGTCCACTGTGGCATATATCCAGATGAATCCGTTGGAGCACTCGAAGAAAGCCGTACTCCCGTTCCATTTCGAAACCAGCGTGTTGAATAATGGCCCGAAGATTGTGACTGGAAGGCCAACACAGACATACGTTGCCTCATCAGAGCTCTCTAGACGCACAGCCTTGAGTACCGATTTAGCCTCTTCAATGGCCCTTGAATCAACAACGACCGAGTTGGATACCCAGAATTCAGTTGACCAGCGATTGGAAGAAAGAGGGCTTCTCTGCAACAGGGAATGCTGGAGGCCAAAGAGGCCTCTGCTGCGACGTTTTCTTTGCTTCTCTTGCTTCGCACCGAGAAGGATAATCTTCAAGTGTGCTGAATGCGTTGTCTCCAGAATACCGATCTGATAGTCATGTGGCTCCAGATTCATGAGATGTGTCTTTGGAAAAACATGAATGACGCCATTCTCGATGGATACGAATTTGCCTTGGCTATCAGCTTTGTTTGGTGGATGGCCTTGTGGAATCATGGTGGACGAGAGTGTTATGTTGATACTCCTACCACAGAGCTTTGACTGTTCCCATTTCCAAACAAGCTCCTCGGTCTTCGAATATATAAAAGGGGTTTTGGTGATCGGGACTTCCGAGGAGGAGAGACCAGCATGAAGAACATGCTTCCTGCTTTGTTCAGTATCTTCACAAATGGCCATTGGAAGTCAAAATACGTACCCGTTCGTACGCCCCCAATGCGACAGAAACGGACGTTCCAGTACTTGTAACATCAAGTGCAGTATCACACAGTTCTTCCCAGCAAGATCTTGTCGTAGTAATCCGCAGATACTGGTCTCTGTCGACGTAAATGTGCAGAATCAGGTATTAAGTTGGCCGTCTTTGGGATGAGATTAGTGTATAAGACTGTATGGGAGCGCCTTACTGTGAGTGATACTCTGACGGTCTAGGATAAAACAAGTGCACTTCACGGAGGACCAAGCGAGTTTAAGTATTTTCCCATCACAACTTGAATGTGCTCACACTGAGCTGGGCTTCTATTGTGGAAAGGTATATCCTGGTGAAAGTATCAAGCCACAAATGTTGACCAAGCTGTCTGAGACTACACTGATATCTTGCCAGGCAACAGTTTTTACTCAACGTTGGCGAGCTGTTTAAACATAATTCTTTCGCACGACGAGAGACAACAAGGTCAAGGCAGACAAAATTCAAGGTCCACATTGATGCTGCTGATGGACGCACAGAGAGACTATCCAGATCAAGGTCTATCCACAAAGCACATGTATTGCTCGCAGAACCATTATCCTCAACACGTCCAGACTTGCTAACTCCACCTCGGTGCTCAAAACCCGGCAACGCCATACTAGACGAATCCTGGTCCGCACGCAGATATCCAACTCGCAATCCAAGCACCTTAAGCACATCCGGCACCCGATCATCAGAGTTGGAAATCAGACCAACAACGACGCGCTGAAAGGGACCGCCAGACAAAGCCTTCAGCTCACGCATCCGCGCGAAAAACGGCGCAACATCCTCGTACAGCGCGTATCCTTCCGCACCTGCAAACCTGTATAGCATAGTATTAACAAGTCCGGACGGAAGATCTGCGCCGCGGGAATCCGGCGCACTTCCCGTGCATAACGCGGACTACCCCGGATCACCTCCTCCCACCATTGTTTTGGACCGCCGTAGCGGCCACGCAGGACATCGGCGCGACCATAGTTCGGGTATCTTGTATCTGGGCGCGGAAGGCATCTTTGAATGCGGCTTTGAGCTTCTCCGGCGTGATTTCTGTTTTGGAAAGGCCGTATTCGTGGGCCGTGCTGGCGTATTGCTCCGTGACGGGCTTGCGGGGGTGGAAGAGGGCGTCGAAGGCGTCGAAGGTTAGGAGGAGGGTTCGTGGGGTCGCACTTGTAGTTGCTTTTCTGATTGCTTTACATGTTACTGAGCGGGCGTTGGTGAGGAGGGTCATTGTGGTGGTGGTTTGTTGGTGGAACTTGCATGACGCGTGGGTCGCGCCAAGTTGGGCGGAGAGCGGAGATCTTGATCGTCCCGGCGCCGATCTATTGGGGTTGATCTTGGTTTACGGGAAATTCTTGGAAGTTCTTGGCTCAAAGTACGACTTAAAAGATAATTCAGATAAGTCACATCCTCAGAGGTATATTGAAAGACTAGGTAAATTCAACAAAGGCTTCATCGATCTTAGTCCACGGCGCGTTCAATTATTGTAAGATCGTGTAATCCTAACCTTGGAAGGCATGATAACGACTTTCTTGACTTGAAGCTAGTAGATTCATGGAAATCGACCTGGAGTAATGAATGAGAAGTGGGGGTGTGTGAAACTGGGGTCCTGCAGCTTGATCATAACCTGCTTCTTAATTGACTCGATAGAGGCTGGTACAGTGAGACTGGTTAGGGGTACTCTCCTCCGCGCCCTTCGGCCTCGAGAGCCAAGTAGCCCGGGGCATAAAGCTCAATATCACTTGTCCACTGCTCTCGGTCACATAGGACCATTGAGTTTGGAAGTTGGTTAGAGTCCTTGGCTTGACAGAGAATATCGATGATCGGTAGGTCCATGTCAAGTCTTTTATTATGCATCAGTTTGTTGGTCTGACATGTTAGGTCAAAGAATACTCACGGCGGATTTTGGTGTCTATAAGCACCGGCACAATGCTTGACATCGTCAAAACTTGACCAATTATGGAAAGCGCTTAAGTATGCCATTTCCATATTGAACGGGCGGACCTCAACGGAATCTCTCACGGTCCCGTTGGTTTCATAGGTGACAATTGTCAGGCGCCCAGTTTGCAGGCCTAGTGCATCAACCAACATGTATGGGCCGTAATAACCGCAATAGAGCACCGTGCCAGTCTGTGTGAGAAAGATAGACCCGAACTTTGCGGTCTCAAGATCCGCCCAGGGCAGATAATCCTCTACTGAAGGATCGGTAGTGGTTTCTGGATTGAGGATCGCCTCCGACGGCATGTAAGCATCGAGTAGACAGTGGCCAGTCTCGATATCATAGTTGTACAACAGGATGGCGAATTTCACCCATCGCGCCCGATTGGCAGCATGTTTCTCATCAACAGGGGCGAGACAAATCAGAGTGGTGCTATCGCTTGGCTGAGAAGTTTCGTAGAGACGTTCTAATGCTTCGGCTGGGTATCGAAGACCTTCAATGTGATCATTCTTCCTTGGCCCGTCCGTGCCTGGAAGACCCACAGGTGCACGCGATTGGTACGCCTGGATGAGGGGGAAAAAGAACTAGTTAGTGCAGTGGACTTCGGAGATTTAACGGAGTTAGACCGAGGTGAATTCACTTCACGAAATTCCTGTGTAGCCGAAGCCCATTTTTCCACCAGTTCCCGCCGGTGGTTTAACTCATAGTTCTCATCGGAGGAACCTGCGTTTGCTGCAGAAACCCAATTTTCCTGGCTGGATGTTAGCACGGAATTGGAAGTGGTAGTTGGAAATGTGAATGCTATGAAGATATATACCTGTACAAAGAGTAGCCAGCCCTTAACTTCCTCTTTGATCTGATCCCAAGACAGATCTGGTTCTGGGTGTGGTTGGATGCAAGTGGGGATTCCCCCTAGCCAGTGTTGAACGGATCCCGACATCATGTGAGTGATCAAATGTAGGGTTCCAAAGTGTTGTAGGGGTCCAAGGAATAAATGATTTCAATTAAATAAACGGGCACTGGAATTGCCGGAAGAAAAACTTTGGCCAACCATGTACTAGTGAAAGCTTCACTAGCTTGATTAGCGGGGCGCCTAACTTGGTTGGGAGAGACCATCAGTTAGGACCTTCGTGGTCAACAACAATATAACGTAACTTATTACCGGGCACTTTTGACCACCCACATCTAAGTGTAAAATGGACATGACCATACGTCTGGAGCTGGCGGCTGAATACCGACACAACGCGCAGCTAAGACAGTACTCCCTAAAGAGATACAGATCATCGAAGGGTATATCGACAAGAACCTAGAACGAGGTTACATCAAGAGAAGCATATCGAAGAATTCTGTCGGATTAATATTCGTCCCTAACTGTGTTTTGAAACAAGTTACCCACACGCCCACCGCCGACAGCGGCATATCGGAACAACATATTACGTGCAACACGGTACTCGAAATACGACATCGAGGAAGCATGTTACCACATCAAGATACACCCTGCAGACCAACCAACCACTTACGACTTTTCGGACACTGTTTGGCCTATTCATGTATACGGTGTTGCCGCTTGGAATCAGCAGCACACCCGCGGAGTGGCAACTATATTTGGAGTCTGTGCTATGGGAACATCTTAGACACCACGTGACGATACATCTGGACGACATATTGGTGTTTACCAGACCACATGAGAGTGAGCAAAGCAGTGAAGGACGCACTAGGGAAAAAGAACTTGAAACTGAATGAATCAAAATGCGTCAGAAGAAAACGAGAAATTGATTATTGTGGCCATCACTACGGATATGGCAAAGCGACGGCAATACTCTCAGATCGCACAATCTACGACTGGCCGAAGCCTCGGAACAGAACGTAACTGCGGAAATCCATGGGACACATCAACTTCTACCTTGATTACATGCCTATGCTCGCACGGGCGTTGGTGCCCACACTGATAAAACCTGTGCAATCATATCTCGACGATTGACGCCACCGGAACGTAAACTAAACGCCACCTCGCACAAAACTCTCGCACAAATTCCCTCATTGACCCTCTCCGTGTTGGGACCCTCTCTCCAAGCCTCTCCTCTCCATCTCACAGCCTTGTGCACAGGGAAGCCTGGTTCTCCTGTGTAAATTACCACTAATCACTACGGTGAGCAACTGCCATAGCTCGAGTCGCAGTTAGCCGAAGAACAGTAGTCAGTCCCCGATCCACTATTTATAATTGGTCAGCCAATCGCACTTTGCATCGATCTCAAGCTAACTTACCAGTATCCATATGCGCTGCAGCAATCTCCGAACTGAGATCCGAGGCAGGTGTAGCCACTATTGCTAGCGCCGCATAGTCCGTTGGGTGAGACATTGGAGCTCGCAGTTGCAGACGGGGTCGCACTAGTCGATGAGGCTGTCGATGTGACACTAGTACTAGAGCAGTCACCGTAGTTCGGGTCGCAATTGCTACCACAGTAATCACTTGTTGAGCCGCTAAGAGGGAGCAAGGAATAGTCAGCTATCAGAGCTCAATGGGTAGAAAGAAGAGTGGAGGCGGGGAGGTTACCAATCGCCGTAAATGCTACAGCAGGTCCTGGTAACCTCCGTTTCTTTCAAGTTTTCGGAACTCAGGGGGACTTTTGCTAACTCAAAAAACATAAGGATTCCCTTTTGACCCACTGTTACCTTCAGATCAAAGGTGACTTCAAAATGTATAACAAATGTCTGACAACCAGGCCTTGCTTCCAAGGCATTACCTATTACAGTCAACTCTCGCTTATACCACAGCATACTATCCAAGCCAAATTACGTGGTATAATTGAGTTGTGTTTTGGTGAGAGGATGACATAATATTTGACAAGCTAAACTCTAAGCCCTAATACCTATTTAGTCTTCCATCCCATCATCTGATCCAAAGTCACCTGACGTTTCTCATCAATCTGAATCCTGCCAAAGTCGCTGATTAAGCTCTCAATTTGTCTAATATGGTCCGAGGTACCCTTTTCTTTGCTACAAACCCATAGTAGGATATCCTGGAGGCTGTCCAATATAGCAGAATTAGACAGAAGCTCAGGTGGGGGCCCATCAATGTCAATATCCTGAATTTCTGAGGTTGTTGGGGCAATATATATATCTTGCTCATTGGTCTCATCTCGCCCTTCAGTCCCATCTTCTAACATGTCTTCGTCCGAAGGGTTCAAAAACTCGTCAAATGGCACAATATCTTTATCACCAAGCTTATCAATTGCTTGATTATATAGACTTTCAATCTCATCACTCAATCCGGGCTCGGAAAATAGTGCAGACTCAGGTGCGGACTCGGGCGCGGACTCAGGTATAGGTATAGACTTTGGACTAATCAAAGTACTTTGTTTAAAGCAATTGATAATCGTTTGGTCTGATACACTTGTTCTCCAAACTTGCGTTACCCAGGTAACAGTATAATAAATGCTCATTCTTTGTTTTGGGTCTATCCCACGATCAAGAAAAGCAATCATATAGCGCATCCATTTCTTCCGATAATGGTGCTTCAAGTTTTGGATAATACCTTGGTCCAAGGGTTGATAAATTGAAGTTGCGTTTGCTGGCAAAAAAACAACCGTAATCCGGGGTGGTGGTGGCGCTCGCTGGAGTCCAATAACATGTGGTGAAGCATTGTCTAAAAGGAGCAAAGCTTTCTTATCTAAGGGAATACGCCCATAGAAAGATCGCAACCAGTCCTCCATAATGTCATGACGCATCCATGCTGCCTTGTTGTGACGCCAAACACATCCCAGAGCTCGGAAATTAACCCCCCGGAGTGCGCGAGGGGTTTTTGCTGTGCCAATCAACCATAAAGGGACTCGATCGGAACCATCCGCATTTGATGCAACAACAATAGTGATTCGTGTTTTATCAAGCTTTTTGCCAGCAATTTTTCCCTTTGAAAGACCACCATTTGGCATACGTCGCCAAAATAGGCCAGTTTCATCCATATTGTAGATTTCGGACGGTTTGAATTGATTGCAAATCGATTTGGTGCTTTTGATCTGATCATGTACCGAGGATGGGACTGAGGCAGCTTCTCCGTGGAAAGTATGATATTGAAGAGAGTGGCGTTGTTTGAAGCGAGTTAACCAACCCTCAGAGAATTGAGGTTTGGTCCGATCTTTGTATTCCGGTATTTGTCTGCAAAGCTCAGCTGCTTTAGTTTGGATCAAAGGGCCATTTATTGGTATTCCATTGCCAATATGGTTATCTGCCCAGTCATATAGCTTTTGGTCCAATAATGGCCAATGAGAGGATGAAGATCGTTTGTTTGCCCCTGCAGGGCCCGTATCAAGATAATTGTATTTGGATGAAAGGATCCTTGATATGGTTGACCGGTCAATCACTTGTTTGAATTGGTCCTCAAACCACTTAGCACATGCAGTCTGCGTGGGCTTTGGGCTAGTATTAGACCAAAATGCCCGTAGTGCCTGTTTCTGCGCGTCTGATATACCCAATTTGGTACGCTTTGGTCCCATTCTGACGCGCTTGGGTGGGGTCGGGAGGGTAGGAGAGCTTGTAGATTGAGGCATTCTGATTGGTTGATTGCGCTGACTAAGCAGATTTGAGAGGAAGAAAGTGTGGTAAAACAAAATGTGTTATATTCTGTCAATTTATATGGAAAAAACTGGAATGAAGGGGCCATCCAAGCAAGGGATGTGTTATTATCAAGAATGTGCAATATCCCACCGTGGTATAAGCGAGAGTTGACTGTATAAGGTATCGACCTGCGCCTTCAACCTCTGTATCATGGTGGTGCGGGTATCACATCCACCATTCATGATATCGTGTTTGGCACGCACAGCGGGGCTGTGGGGCACCGACGACTGAATTATATCAAGGATCTCACGAGGAACGATGGTACCCAGACTGGAATATGACTGTTCCAACCTCGTGAGGTCAAGGAGCAGCTTAATTTTCAAGAGCGTCAGGGTAGAAAAGTGGCTGAGAGCATGGAACTGGCCACAGAAACGATCAACAGGCTCTAACACATCGGCATTTTTGATATCGAGGTATGGCAGAGAGGTGTCTCCCCAGTCGTAATGTGGATTCTCACTCACGACGACCCACCACTTGATAAAGTCATAACATTCTTGGTCCTTGTTAAGTCGCAGCATCAGTGCAGGCACGAGATCCCCCACACCCATGTTATCACCTCGGCAGAGACGCAACATATCCATGAGATGGCCAAGCTGCGCCTCAACAGACTCAGCACTGTTGATTTTGGCCATTGCTTCGACGAGTGCAAACCGAGCTCGCATATAATCACGGGTTTCGAATAAGCCCCAGAAATGTCCGACACCATTGGTGAAAGGGTCTTCGGGCATCATGAAGTCTCCTGGGTGGTTGTGCAGGGCCTGCTCTTCTTCCTCCATAGTGACGCGAGATCTTCGGACGGTGCTGCAAGCAGATTTGTGTGACGGGCGATCAGCTGCTTGGTGATCGCGGCCGCAGTATAGCAGCACCTTGCACCCAGAGCATCGAAGAAGACCCTTGTGTTGACCACAGACGCCACAGCCGGAAGGGAGTACTTTGGATAGCATTACTGCGACGGAGAATGAGGGAAATGAACGTGTAACGTACGAATCTCTATAAACAGAAGGCCCCAAAGCCAGAGAGATGGATATAGTGACGTCTTCCTTCGGTGTTAAAAAGACTGAATGAGGCTGTAAGACGCCATTTCTCGTTGATGGGGGACCGGTTGCTTCGCAGTCAAAAATAGGGGGAGACTTATCTGAGTTGGGTGCCCAAAGGAGGACCGGGCCCCACATGTGTCAATTCTTGTATTGTGCCCAACCCATTGGAGATATCAATGACTCTGTATTTCAATTACCCCTAGTTCACGCTATTTATGCTTCAATTTAGTTACATAATCAGATGCATCGGATCAATACTAGATCCGGTCACTTGCAGTATTCGTAAGGTAATGCCGACACACCCCTCAGTGGCCTCAGTCCTTACTGAGCCGCTGAACTTGACAATCCTTCGAATCTGCATCCTTCCACCCAAACAGCTTCCAATTGCCTATGATGGACTAGCTTTGCATGATCAGATGTTGAATACTGACCATGCGGAGTAGCTTGACGAATTTCTCATGCTACTATCTCGATAGCAATTTCGTGAGACCGTCCGCGACCATGTTGGCCGTCGGCACCCATTGTACAGCGATACGCCGAGCTCTTATTTCCTGTCTTAGCCAGAGATGATGAATGTCCACGTGTCGGAGTTTGGTGTCATAACTCGCGTCTTCAGTTGTGATCAGTCCAATTGCTCTCTCGTTGTCGCATTGAATGGTGATAACGTGAGAGGGATCAAAACCAACTTGTCCTAATAGCCTCCTCCACCATTGGAGGTGCTTTCCTGCTTCTGACAGTCCTAAGAGCTCTGCTTCTGTAGTGGAGGTAGTCACCGTTCGCTGCTTCGTGGCTTTCCAGTCTACCGGGCCTCCATAGACCTGGCAGATATAGCCTGCAGAGCTCTTCCTATCTTCGTGATCTCCATATGACGCGTCACTCGCTAGCTGCACCGAGTCAATCTCGCTGTCCAATTGAGCACTGTACTCAATGGCGAGATATCTTGTCGTGTAAAGGTAGCTGATTACTCGGTCTGCTGCCTTTTGATGCTGTGGTCCTGGATTGGTCAGGAATTGAGCAAGCTTCGCAGTTGCTTTTGCTGCATCTGGCCGAGTGATAGTGGTGGCGTATCCCATTGATCCGACCTTTTGCTGGTATAGGTGGATCTCCTTTGCACTTGCTAAGCCTTCATAAGACTTCAATTCTTCAATTGGCAATGGGGTAGACACTGGTGGTCTATCAGTGAGGTTATACCTAGCTGCCACGCTGGTAATGTAGCTATCCTGGCAAAGCCATAGCTTCTTCATACTCCGATCCCGAATAATGCGTATATTCAGGAACCACTCTGCTTCTCCATGGTTAGTAAGTTCCCAATGTGCTTCGAGATCCCTTTCCAGTTGATTAGCTCTCTCTCTCGCGAGTCGATGGCTTGCTATCAGTATATCATCGACATAGAAGAAGACAATAATGCTGTCTGCTATAAAGACGCATGGATCCTCTGGGACCTGTCGGAACCCTAATTTCATAAGAACTCTTGCCGCTTCCTGCTGCCACAGGCGCGGTGAGATTCTTAGTCCATATAGGGCTTTCTGAAGTTTCCAGCATTTTCCTATTGTCACAAATCCTTCAGGCATTCTAGTATACACCTCCTTCTCAAGTCTGCTATTCAGGAATGCCGTCACTGCATCCAGCTGTCTCAAATCGAGGTCAAATGCTGCGACTAGAGCGAAGATCATCCTTGCTGTTCTAGCTGCTAGTGTAGCAGCTCTCTTTTCTTCGGAAGAGATCGTCTCAAGATCACCTCTAACGCAGATTCTTGCCTTCAGCTTCAGAAGATAGCCATCCTGGTCAAATTTGTATGCAAAGACCCAGCGAAGCGGTAGGATCTGCTTGCCTCGGTCCTTCGGGCGATCCACGGTGTCGAATGTCGCTTTTTCGGTAAGCGAATCTATTTCTTTTCTCATTGCTGCTAAGAACCCTTCTTGGAATGAATGATTCATGACGTCCTTCCAGTGCTTCGGAAGCTCAGGGAGATCATCCTGATGATGTCGTATTGGTTTCTCAGCGTATAGGCCTGCTGCGAATGCATGGAGGTAAGCTGGTGGTTCTATTGTGCTGTATGCGTTGTCGTATCTTGCTGTCCTTCTTCTCGAGCCAGTCACTATATTTGCCTCATTCACGTCACTGTTGATGTCTCTCGGGGCGAGCTCTCGCGGTATAAGAAGCTCCGCTTGTAGCTGCAATTCAGCGTCTCCGTCCGAATCGGTGACGATGTCGATAGACGTCTCCTGGGTCTCCTGTGACTGGTCATTTGCGAGCATTTCCGATGCTGTCTCCACCCCCTGACCAGTTACAGGATCTTCATAAGGTGGAGTCGGAGATAGCGGTATCTCTTGCGGAAAAGCTCCGGGAATTTCGGTAATAGCTTCAGTAGCTTCAATTTGCCGATCGGGTGTGCTATACACCCCCTGATGTCTAGATAGAGACTGTTTTTCAGCTGAAAAAACCTCTCTGTTGGTTTTCGGGGTTTCTGCTTCATCTAAGTCTTCATTGTTGGTGCTTCCTATCTCGAATTCTGGCATCGACCCAGTTGATATCGATGCTTGGAAGGCTCTTTCAGCTTCCGATTGGTCCAGTTCCTTGGGTTCTTTAGCCAATGGCATTGGAATAGGTTGGAAGTGCTGAAAATCAAGCATATAGCGGCGCGATTCATCAAAAACTGCGTCTCTAATAAGCTTCACCTTCCCACTCTGTGGGAACCATATTCTCCACACATTTGAAGCCATATAGCCGACCAGGAATCCTACCTCAGCGCGAGGATTCATCTTATCTGATTGAACTTGCTTGTCGATACGACAGTAGGCAAGACTCCCGTACAACCTGACGTTCGATAGGTTGATTCTTGGTACCGTTTTATCAGTGCTTGCGAACTCCTTCATCACTTCTCCCCATGGGATAATCCAGCGTTTCTCGTTTGCCAGGTACGTTGGAGTCCGATTCAATAGCCATACTGCTGCCCTTGCAGCTTCTGGCCATAGTTCCTTAGGGAGCTTTCCCTCTATCATCAGCATTCGCATGCGGAGCACGATGACACCCCCTGACCGTTCAGCATGGCCATTCATTTCAGGGTGTCGAGGTGGGCTATGATAGACCACTATACCGTCTGACGTCAAACTCCGTTCCGCCGGCCGTCCAGCTGCCGCTTCATTGTCGTAGTTGAAAGCCTTGATAGGTAGGTTCCACCAATTCTTGGCCAATTGCACGAATTGATTGATTGCAAGCTGACATTCGGGCTTATATTCGTGCGTTAGGATCCAGTGAAACCTAATACCTTCAATATAGAAATGAGAGATCCAATGATGCTTATTGTAAGCCTTTTGGAGCTGGATTAGGTCAAAGTGCACTCTCCCAAGACGTCCGAAAACCCGTCCAATTGGTCTTCTTGACACTTGGCGATTTGACCTTCCGAGTTGACATGTCTCGCACATCTTATAGGCGTCTTCTTTGCCTTCAATGATCACTCCGTCGACCATAGTCTGGATTTGATGCACCGTTTTGTGCTGAATGTGAGCTAGGCGCCGGTGCCATAGATCAGCCGATGCCTTTTCTTGCAGTGGTGTCGAGGAAGATCTCACAGCATTCGCAGAGTTGCGAATGTCTTCATTTGGTTGGTCAAAGACCCATAATCCGTCATGATGCCATAGTCTCAGGCTGACTATAGGGATTCCTTGGTGATCTTGTATATAGCCTCTAGATTCAGACCAAAAGCCTCCTTTTTCTCGCAACCTTGCGTACGACACTAAGTTAACGTGAAAACCAGGTGCATAGCAGGCATTGCTTAGCGTGATTGTCTTTTCTTGCTTCGATATCGGGTCCACGCCAGTCAGTCTGACTGTCCCGCGTCCGAGGACAGCAGTGGTACCGTCTCCAGTCGCTAAAGTCTCCTTACATGGTTGGAGATTCACAAATCGACTCTTTTCATTGCAGACGTGTACACCTGATCCAGTGTCAAGAATCCACCGCTCTTTAAATGAAGAATCAGCGAAGTGAGATCCGAATGCTCTGCTAGCAAAGGACATATTCTCTGCTATCTTCGTTGGCTGTGGAGTGTCAATGCTCCTCAATTGGACCGCATTCGATGGCGTTTTAGCGTTTTCAATGGCTTCAAATATCCATTTCTTCCATGCTGGGTCGGCTGAGAGCGTTTTCTCGACCTTTTGCAAGTTTTCCTTGTTTGGAATGAACCAGTCGGGTCTAATTGCTTCATTCACGATAAAGCAATTAACGGCATTGTGTTTTTGGTTCTTTCGTCCGCAAGGGCATGGCCTTTTGTCGAATGGCGTCTCATTCTTGCCATTCTTCCCACCCCTTACGTCTTTGGTGCCACTCCTTGCTTCTTGGTGACCTTGCCAAGTAGAAAAAGAGCCCTTCATTGCCGACGGAGAGGGTGTCGCTCTATTAGGTCCCGCATCCTGGTATGACGCTCGAAAAGATTCAATCAGGTCCGGTGTATCGATTGATTTGCCTTTCACGATGATCTTCTCGTGATACGCCTGCCACCAAACCGGTGAGACATCCTTGATTGCATAGAGGAAGTCCTTGTTTGCACTCTTCACCTCGTCAAGTTCGAGGTTAATAGCTTGTTCTCGTAGGTCATTCCAGTCGAACAGCCATTTCTCGACGTCTCCAGTAGGCCTTTGAGAAGAGAAAGCCTTCCATTTCATACGCACTTCCTCCTCATACACGTAAGATCGGGCAAAGCGCTTCTTGAGGTATGCTAAGCGTCCGATAGGCGTATCATATATGAGGACACTGAGACGTAGGGAGTTGTCCAGGTAAGTGATGATATAATCATTCACTTCATTCAGACCCTTTTGCTGCTTTTCCCAGCGGTTCGCTTTGATCTTGTAGATCTCCAAGCGATCTCTCCAGGCCTTCAGGGTCTTTTCGTTTCCTTCCTCAGGGTATTCAGGCTCAATTGGCTCTTCCAGAGCCTTTGGACGATGCAATTCGTCGGTGTCTGGGTTACAGAGATCCCAGACTGTTCTTTGTGCTGCAAAAGCCTTTATTTGCATATACCATGCTCGCCATTGTGACGAGTCTTTCAATTTGTCGCTTCTCACAGCGGAGGGCATCGATCTCGCCTCCATTGCTGCTTCTGGTGCTTCGAAACAGGCGTTCAAGGAGGTAGGTGGCTCGTTGGGATGAGGGTATTCAGGGTTTTGGGGTCGATCAGAGCTGCTTTCGGTGTCTATGTCGTTGTGAATAGCTTCAAGTGATAGCAGTGGTCCTAATGACGGCGAACCGGGCTCATAACTGTCAATTCTTGTATTGTGCCCAACCCATTGGAGATATCAATGACTCTGTATTTCAATTACCCCTAGTTCACGCTATTTATGCTTCAATTTAGTTACATAATCAGATGCATCGGATCAATACTAGATCCGGTCACTTGCAGTATTCGTAAGGTAATGCCGACAACATGTCAGTGCCCTATTCTACAGGCAGAAATGAACTGTCAAGCATAACTTAGTTACCTTACGAATACTGCGTGAGATCAGAAAAATGGATGCTCCGAGTGCACGCATTAGTCATAAGTGTATATGTCGGAATCAGCGGTACCCGTAATAGCAGGTCATCCAATGGAAAATGGCAAAAGGTCTGAATTGTTTACTACCCCTTCGTACACACAATTTATGGGCATCATGACTAACAACACTGGCAATGAACATGCTCCGGAGTGGAACAACCTAGCTCCGGTCATTTATACCGACAGATAGTGAAATTTTGTTTGAGGGTGTTTGCATACGATCACGTGCCTAGGTGTACTGACCTGTAGTCACTTCCTCGGGCGCACTAGTAAGATTGCGACCCTCTTTTGTTGACAGCTTGAATAACTTCGAATACGAATAGAGGAACTTAGTTTTTCTCCGCACCCCTAATAAGCTTGAACTTGCAGGGGACATGAGAACTTATTTCGTTCAAGAGACAAAACGCAGCAGAACTTGTTCAAGATGACATTCGCATACTGTACCGATTAGCGCAGCGTCCAAAGGCCTGGAGGCAGCGATGGAGCTTCAGCGACTTCGCGGCTTATTTCCAGCAACAGCACGGCAGCTATTCACATCGACGGTGGCTCCGCTGGTAGACTACGCCTCTAGTGTCTGGATGCACGCTTGCAAGGATAAGGCAATCGGGCCGATCAACCGAGGGACATTTCTCACAGTTGCGACTAGCGTAGCGGAGGCAGAGGCTCACATTGCCGCTGCACAACACCGCTTTTGGAGACGGGCCGTGAAAATGTGGACGGACATTCACACCCTGCCAGAAACCAATCCGCCCCGCAGGTGTACAGCATGGATCAAGAAATTCAGGAGGTACCACCGTTCACCGCTGTACCAGGTAGCGTACGCGCTGAAAAGCATTGAGATGGAGACACTGGAAACCATCAATCCGTTTACATTAGCACCATGGGAGACACGCATGCAGACCGATGTTGAAGCAATGCTGGACTCACAGACTGTATCCGGCGGATCAATGCAAGTCGCGGTCAGCAGCTCGGAACGAAACGGGCTCGTATGATTCGGGGTGGCGATCGAGATGCGGCCACCTCGGTATCGAAAACTGAAACTGAACACCTTTTCCGTGACATTGGGCGCAAGATCAGAGCAAAATCCATTCTCCGCGGAGCTAGCAGCAATGGCACATACATTGAACATGCTAGTGGGACTGAAAGACTACAGGATCGTGCTGCTCACGAGCAACAAAGCAGCGGCTCTCACGATAAGGAACCCTCGACAACAGTCAGGCCAGGAGTTCGTCTGCCAAACGTACAAGTTGATGAGAAGACTGCGGAGAAACGGAAACCACATCAATATTCTTTGGGTCACTACCAGCAAAGACAATAGACTGCTAGGTCTGGCTAAAAAGCAGGCCAGAACCGCGACCCAGAAGGATGCTGCCCCACAAGGATTGGTCCCCAGGTTGAAGTCGACAACACTGAATATCGCTTGGTCCCAAGCAGTTGCCAGCAATGACTTGCCAGAGAACGTTGGGAGACACGTGAAACGAGTGGATGCAGCACTCCCTGGGAAACACACCCGGCAGCTGTATGACCAATTATCGTGGAAAGAAGCGAGCACGTTGGCTCAACTACGGACTGGCATGGCAAGACTGAATGGATATCTCTTTCGAATCAACGTAGCGCAGACGGATCAATGTGCATGTGGACAAGCAAGAGAAACCGTGGAGCATTTCCTCTTCCGATGTCGGAAGTGGACCACGCAACGGATAGCACTGCTGTAATGTACCCGTACTCACCGGGGCAACCTCTCCCTCTTCCTAGGCGGGAAATCGCCTTCCGATGATCAGCAATGGACGCCGAATTTAGAGGCTGTGCGAGCCTCAATACGATTCGCAATCGCCACGGGCCGACTCGACGCCGCCTAACCACGTCGACCAACACAATGACACCCTTCACCTAACTAACCTACACCAACCACCTTGTGCCAAAGATGGTAGACGCGCTTCAACTGCCGAGGATAGGATGTTGAACACTTGAAGAAGCGCCTTCAAGCCAGTCTACTAACAAAATTACTAACCCACAAGGATTCCTACGATATTGACAGCTGAGAGGACATATACCGAAAGGATCCATGTATGGGCTCGAAGGAGATACGGCATATGTACATTAGGACCTGTATTGATAGATCAATGATAGTTGCCCTTTCGGCTTAGCCGCCGGGCGTTAATGAAGTGTGTGTGTGTGTGTATTGGTGACCTCTTGCGGTCAAGATAGGAAACAAGAACGTGTACAGTTTAGCCGTAACGGGTCACCCGGTCGCTGAAGTCTTATTTGTAAACGCATCAGACCGTAGCGTCAGAGAAGGTCGCTCAATAATAGCGTATCTTCTATTGCTAAGTAAGAGAAAAACTGAAGAAAGGCTTAAAAGGCACAGTCGCGAGGCTCAGATTGCAGAGGGCACAATGCCCCTTGTAATTAGTCAAGTAATCTTAAGCACACGGCGGTTGTTGCAGTGCTTAGACCTCGCCAGATTGCTTTTTGGGTACCTTAGTTACCCGCAAACTCGCTGGGAACCAAACCCAAACCTTAAGATATTACTGTAATACATATGAAATACTGAGACGTCATATCACGCACTCTGCTTTTGAACCTTCTTAGTTTGATCGTGCGTCTAACCCTTAAAAATCACTTATAATCATTCACACTAGTTATAACTAGCTAGCTTGCTCTGACTAATCAGAAAATGCTAACTAAAGCGGCACGGAATTCCGAGAACTGACTCCTGCCTAGCGACATTTTGTAAATTTATATATATATATATATATGCACTATGCTGGAAGGTGTTCACCTTACTACCACACTTCTAAGTCAGTCCATTCATGAAAAGGCAACAAAACAATTGTTGCTAGTTCCTTATTCTTTTCCAACACCTTCTACGACGGCTAACCGCCATGATGAAAATATTCTTTGTGGCTACATTTGCTTTCCTCACCGCTATAGGCGAGGTCTCAGCTCGTGGAGTTGGAGCAGGCGACGGTGGCCATGGAGTGGCTGCTGGCCATGGGGTGGGCAGTGGAGGGGGCAGTGGAGGGGGCAGTAGCACGCCTAATTACGCGACGGAAACTGCTAAAGTGACGCGCTATTTAACCTCGTGCAATGAGCCTAGCATTAAATATTGCAAGGCACTTGATCAAGGCTGGGACTGTGCTATGGTGTAAGTGGAACCCCATACGGTGCTATACTTGCTTGTATTCAAAGTTTTCTTGTCTGCACTATACCAGCACTCTTTCCGATTCGCTACCTAAAATAAATGGATGCGAAGTTGCTAATATTTTACGTTTTCTCTCATTAGCCAACAAAGCCCTGGCCAAGATGCTATACCTATCTGCCATACATATGATACTCAGTTCACTAATGACGCTGAAGATGTGATCAACTGCGGCCAAGCTTGCAGTCTCAACAATCTGCCAAACACTGGCTACTATGTCCCTGAGTAAGCTATTTACTCTATCTTGGCCTGCCTTTTCTTGGTTATGTAGTAGGAACTAATACGAGATTTGTAGTCTTGATTGGGTTGACTGCCTATGCCAGTGAGGATGATTACATTATGATCCTTGGCCATCAAAGAAGGACTGTGGGGACCAACCCTTGGGGTTAGGGTGGATAAAAGCAGGCTGCCGAAGCAAATATTTGTCGAGGAAAGTGGAGTAGTTAGTTACAGCTGCCTCCTATTGGCTTCCTTCGTCCCCCGCCTTTCTTTCTATTTTGTATGTACAGATACTAGTCAAATGTTCTTTCCCACTGCCCCACTACAGTTTGACCCGGCAACCAACCCACCGTTTTATTTTTCTTCCTACACCTCCCCTATTGCTCCGATTGCAATTGATGATGATGATGATGATGATGTATTCATTTGCCCGATGTAGCTCGCTCTATATATATGCTGCTATGCGGGAGTGCTGTCAGGCCTGCCGACAGCTGGAAAAAGGTGGTCGCTAGCCCACTGGGCGACTGTTGGAAACTCGTACGAATTTCTAGTCAATCGCCCTCGAATAGAAAGATGTAAATTGAACAAAAGAAATGCACGGATGCAAACATGATAAACAAAAAGCCAAAATGAACGTCATTTACCCCTGATCACGGGTGGGAGGCCCCGCCCACTTCACACCATTCCGACGTCCACTTCTCCCCAACCGTTCAGTCTTGTCGGCTGCCGCTTGCGCGCTCGCTTAGATCAAGGGAATGCAGTGGACCTGGCACTGCACTCCTCACGGGCGCCATCCTTCTTCTTCCGTCACACTGTCTAAGGGGTCATTATCTCCGCTCCTTTGTCATCCCCCTGCTCCTCGCCTAGAGCCGTGGGATCGACTGTCTGAAATTGGCCTAGAAGGCCGGTCCTGACCATGAATTCGGCCACAACTGTGCGGGCCTCCGGTCGTGTGAGGAGCTCGTCCCGGTGGAGAGCGACTCCCTGGTATGAGAGAGCGCTTCTCATCCAGTCTCGCTCGTCCTGGTGCAAGGGGCATTCCAGCAGGACGTGTGTCACTGTTTGGCTACCAAGATCGCAATCACACCGCGCTGTTTCGCGTCGGTTGATACGATTCAGGTAAGCCCCTAGGCCTATTCGCCCAGTTCTAAGCTGCATCAGAATCGATGTCGTCGCTTTGCGCAAGCCCGTCCAGTATTCTAGCGTCTTCTTTGTTGGTGCTTCAATCAAGCGTTTCGTCGGACGACTGGTCGTTTCCTTGGCCCACGTTCTGTCCCACTCCAGCTTCGCTTCTCTGCGAATTCGTCGTCTCGCTGCGGCTGCGAGACGTATGTCTCGGTTGAGAGGGTTATGCAGCCCGTCCGGTTCCTGCGCCGCTTCTTTTGCGTGTTGGTCCACGATCTCGTTGCCAATGACTCCTTGGTGCGCAGGAATCCATCTGAGTTCTGTCCGAATACTTCTGCCGGCAAGTTGTAGGATCAGGTTGAGGCATCCTGCTAGATAGACCTGTCCTGACGGCATCCGCGGTCGCCTCAGCGCCTTCAGCGCTGCTTGGCTATCTACAAAGATGACTACACCGTTCTTCGCCTGCTTAGCCCATGGCTCTGTGCTTTCCAGAACCATTTCAAGTGCCATCTCAATGGCTCGAAGCTCTGCCGCATATACGGTGGACGTATCATCATCTCCCATCTGGCTATGAGCATGTTGATCCTCAAGGTCCACGACCGCTGCCGCTCCGATCCTTCCATCAATTCCGCTCCCGTCGGTGTACAGAATCAAGGGTCTTTCTTCTGGGTCTTTCATCAGGATCTGGTTGTGATTGTTGACCGCAGCTTCTCTGTCCTCGATGATTACCTCTGGTGGCGCTTGCCATGGTGCCAGGACGAATGCCTTTCGACTCTCCCATTTTCTTGCCAAAGTATCCGGGGGAGCCATAAGACATCCGTCCGCCTTCCAAGCTTGCGCCTCCATCGGTGACCATCCAGCCCAGTCTCTCTCATCTGCCGGTCGGCGACGTAACATCGTTGGCGGGACAGCGAACTCTGGTCCTGTCCGTAGTCGAAGGGCCGTTTCTTTCACCAGTCGATTCATGTGAACAGAAATAGGCGGTAGGTGAAGCTCTGCATTCAGTGCCTCTGCTGCCGTAGTTCTGAAAGCTCCACTGATGAGACATGCTGCCTGCTTTTGGATTGCCACGAAAGGCCGACTGATTATGCGTGCCTTGGAATGACTGATGAGCATAGGTTGATACCACGCGGAAACCCCAAAGAGCATCTGCGGGATGATCACCGCTTGGTAGATCTTTCGCATTGCATAGAGTGAGGCTCCCCACGTTGACCCTGCCAGGCTTCGTAGCGCGTGGAGAGAGACACCGGCCTTGGCCACCGCTTTCTCGCGGTGATGGTGGAATTCCAGACCCGGATCTAGCCAATAGCCTAGGTACCGCTCAGCCGTCCTCGTCGCTGTCACCGTGTGTCCTCCTAGAGACAGCGATGTGTATTGTGGGTCGACTTCCCTGGTGTTTACAAAATGCATGAGTGCATACTTCTTCGGGTCAAAAACTGATGCATGTTTCTCGGCCCATTGGTCGGCTTTGCGGCATGCCGCTCTGAGTTTCTTGATGGTTTCGCGTTCGCTGTCTCCCTTTGTCATGAAGCAAACATCGTCGACCCACCCGTTGCTAGTCACACCGTTACCGCAGTTCTCAACGAGGTCTGCGTTGTAGATGAGATATAGAATGGGTGAGATCGGTGATCCTTGAGGGATGCCTGTAGGTGTCGGGATTCGATCAGATGAGCCCTCGGGCATGCGGATCCGTGTGCTTCGATTGCTCAGGAAGGCCCTCACCCAGGGAACGAAGTGTCCCAGACGTCGTTTCTTGAGGTTGTGTAGTAGACGTTCATGGGAGACATTGTCGTACGCTCCAGACACGTCCAGCATTAGCAGAGATACCACTGGCTTGCCTTTTCCCCATGCGGTTTTGATTCGGTCGATGATAATGTGGATAGCATGATCGGTGGATCTTTCTTTCGCATCGTCTTTGAAGTCAGTCCAGTTTCGGATAGGGTCGCGCTGAAATCTACTTACCTGTATGGAAATCGCTCTTTTGCATCGATATTCAGGGACCGGACAGTGGTCGGTTGCTATGGTGGACAGATGTTCGCATAGATACATCGACCATCTAACATAAATCTGCTACTTTGATCGGCTGCCATGGGTGGCATAGTGGACCTGGTGGGAATCTCGTTCTCACAAGTACTTTCTAGATTGTCGGCCCACGATGTATCCATAGATGTCAGTACAGTAGAAATTCCAGTAGGTTGAGGGAAGAACTCATCAGGTGCCTCAAACCGAGGGCCTGCTCGACTTTGCACGGCAAGTGACAGTATTGTGGAACGAATCGCTGAGGGGATAGGACGTATTTATACGCTTCTCGGCTCCTGTCGCGTACGTGCTCTATTTAGGGAGCAAACGTCGAAGGACACAGTGCCTATCTTAAGTGAGGAATGATATAAATGATATAACATATACCGCAAGTATATGCAGCGAATTTCTTGGTGTGGTTTTAGATGGTCACCGAGAAAACATGCTAAAGTCAAGTAGAGAATGAGTCAAAGTGAGTCGGTTAAGAAACGTTGGCTCACCGTTGAATCTACGGTCCTAATATTGAGGCAATGGAAGCTGTTCTTTCTTTGATTTTACCAACGGTACTCACATTTTCATCCAAGGAACATGGAAATTTTCTGGCCTCGCTCGAGTGTTGATTGTCTGAGCTGTGTGTGGTTCTGTCCGTCTAGGCTGCGGAAAGCGTCAGGCCGCGGTCGCACCAGCACGGGTACTCAACCCATCACCCGTTGAAGCTTGGCCGTCCTGGTTGACGGACGGGAAAAAGTCAACTTTTGAACTTGTGATCATGGTTGAGATAGATACCTTTTCTTTTCGATTTTCTTTTTCAATCCTCTAGGTTTTATTCTATTTACTTTTTGGAATTTCTGAGCTCTCAAACGAATGTGGAAAATGCGTTGAAAATGCGTTGTGATTGAATATATATCTCCTGGACCGTTCATCACCAGAAGCCACTAATATGAAGCATATTCACCAACCATCAACACCGCGAGATTGATCATCAACGCCACCATTGAATGGGCTGCTAACAGAGCACTGAAATTCAAAAGCCGACTGTGTGATTGATTTTCACTATGACAGTGAGACTGAGCAGACTGTAATGGAATGAAGATGTGTCTCCCATGGAAAGGCCTTCTTTATTCGGGCCCTGCCACCGGTTTGAAGGCTTTCTATCCCGTCTACTTCGAAAAGCCTTCGCATTGTTGTACCTATATGTTGCCATAAATTACTCATTCCATAAATTTCTGTGACAACTTATTTTGTCGACATGGAAACCAGCTGTCGCTTTTCGAAACCCCGAAGCACACTCGTGCACACCAACGGCTCTGTCAACCCGAGATTCCATTTATGTGGCAGTATCATCCTACTCTGCTTTATCTACCGTGTGTCTCAGTGCCCTTCATCCATAAGCAATACGGCCACAGCTTTGGTTTCTCTCTTAGTCAATCTCATTTGTTTTGGGACTTCTACCTTTTGTCACTACGTGCTGTATTCGAGAAAGCAGCTCCCTTCTTCCTACTTCCTGCTGGACCACCTTGGAATTATTCTTCACATATGGGGGACATCTGTATCAGTTTTGCTTTTAGAGGCTACTGATAGCGGGAACAACAATTCCATTTTCCTGGGAGTCACACTGGGCGGGGTGGTCTGTGCCACATATTTGATAACCTGGCCAAGAGAGAAGAGAGAACGAGTGCTGGTGATTGGAGGGTTCGGAGCATTGGTTTTATGCAGCGTCTCGATCTACAACGCTGTCTTTTCTGATATATCTCGACTGACAGCCTCTTATATCTTTATGGCTTTGGTTAACGGCATCGGAGGGTGGTTCTACTCTCATGGGTCTATTCAAGTCCTGAGTCAACGTTCACCCAAGCCCTATACTGT